GGAATAGTGTTCGCTCACGCCCCGGAGGTTTTTGTGGAACAGTGTGAATTGATGAGCCAAAAAAAATGAGAGCGAGCCCTTCATGGAGCAAACGGGGCTCCTCAAACTGAGGAGGCCTTATAACGCTGTACCAGGTTTCCATTTGGCATCTCCAGTTGATCATTCCCTTAGAGAGGACTTGGTTTTCTTTTTGCTTCCGATTGCCCACATGAGGTATCCCCGGTTCTAGTTTTTGTCTTGAGCTTAATGAAGACAACTGACGAAGGCAGCCGGCAGAATTGGTCTTCATTTGGACCGAATTCTTCTTGGACCTCCCAGTGATTACATGCCTCATTTCACATGCAAACAAGAACATATTCCCCAGTTGGAAATCGGCGAAGGCTTTCTGAAAGGAGTTGCATATCAACTATTTTGCCTTTTGCCTTTGTCGTAGAGTTTTGCCACTTCTGTGATTAAGACGTACACCTCTTTCTTTGTCGTTGTGATCAGGTAGTGCTTTTTGAATTCCAAGACCATCTGGCTGTGTAATTCTGATAATTATTTACCGAGCCCTTGAACATACTGGCTTTTGATTGTGGATTACACTTAAATTTGGCTCTGATAAGGGTTCGTACTCAGTTGTTCCCGCACGTTTATTTTGGTACCGTGTTCTTTTTAGATGACATATGAATGGATTCTGAGTGTATATACGGTCCCTTCCACCTGCCTCAAAATTACTTGGGGACGGTTTTAACCGCTTGAAGACCTGAGCTAGAGTTCATGAAGTTTATTCATTAAAACTTCGGTTTGCCTTTTTTAAAGAGGAGCGCAAGGAGAAAATCTCCAAACATGGTAATTGTGTTAACGCCTTAAGTTCCCGGATTTCTCTTCGGCCAAGGGTTTTAGGCAGCTATACCAGTGGAAAGTTGAGCATATTGTTCACCAAAAATCACCCCATTTGGGACCTATCCTTTGTGGTTTTGCAGTGCTAGACGGGAGAATTACGCCACAGTCCCTCTCTCCTTCTCTTTTTAACCACCATCCAAGGTTTACTTTCTTTCCATAACAAAATAAAAGGTGCCAATTATTGAAAATCATTTTCTACAGAAGGAGAAATTTTTCATTCTTCGGGATCATTTTTCCCCCGTGGATAAAATGAACCATTTTAAGTTTGTCATGTGGAATGCTTTATTTCAGCTTTATATGTAAAACGAAAGTGTAAATATATTTCAAACATTGATCCAGCGGTAGGTTGTTTTTAAAATTGCTCTTTAAGATCATACATTTGATTGTTCTCTAATAGAGGATATTGTATTTTTCTTAGGGAGATAAACGTACATATTTCGTATTATGTGTCATGTGGCCTGGCGTGAGCGATTTTCTTCTCAACGAGGGGCAGTCTGATACAAATCTAAGAGTGTTCAAGAGGGCACAGCAAGTCAGTTGCTGGTATTTCTTTGGCTTTCGTAACCACAACAGGCAACGTGGTTCCGTGGCCAAAATAACTTAAGCGCGCAGTAGGAATTCTTCCACTGACCAACCTAAACCCAGGTGACTCTCCACTGAATAGAAGGATAATGTTTTTTTATCCTTTTTATGTAGAGCCACTGTTACAATTCAAGTAAGGGCTTTTAAGAATTGCAAACTTGGTCATCGTTCTTTGGTCAAAGTGGTCAGATTTCCATTGCACTCTAGGCCATCGGCCGAACAGGTAAGGAAGATAATGAAGAGAAAGAGATGATGAACCGAAAAGCTGTCAGCAAATCTTACCAAGACGATTGGGTTCCTAAAACCGTGGTCACTAGAGTTCCCACGTCCAAGGCTTTTTTTCTTAAGAAGTGTTTACCGTCTAGTAACGTGTCGGTAATGGGTTTTTTTTTTGTTTGTTTTCTTTTTTGGTCTGATTGTTCATAATAGGGGACGAACCGGGAGGATCCGGGTCCTGTCTTTTAAGACTGGCATCATTTCTCTGTGTAAAGCGCATTTGGAAGACAAGTACAGATGTAAGTCATGTGTATTAACTCTCCTTTTTTATTAACGTTGCCTAATTACCCCAGTAATTACCCCTGTCACACATTCCATTGCAGGTATTTCAATAGAGAATGAGGATTAACTTCTCCCGTCCAAGTATGATTTTACATTACATTGACTGTGTCCGAATAAAACACATGTTCCTAGAGCATAAAGTCTGATTTCCTAACCCCTTCGCCGGAGTCACAATAAAGAATGTGAAGGTTTAACCTGTACACTTGCTGACGCTTTGGATTCTTATGTAAAGAGTGCTCTCTGGCATTCGTGTTCAAGAAACATTGTTTATTTTATAATCATCTTAACGGCAAGTTGTACAGACATCTCCAGATCTGTAACGTGACTTCCATTTTATTACTTGAGAAACTGATAGTGTGCCATTTCTTACAGGGTAAATATCACCTTATAGAATTTCCTTCTGGTTAGCTCTTGGGTTCTTCGGCTTAAATCTGGTGCATCCAAATTAAAAGCAAATGCTAGAGGAGAAAAAATGGTCGCGGTGACTAAACAACCGTCCGTTCCCACTGTGAGAGACTGTACTTGGTTTTCGCCCTTTATATGCTTGTAAGAAGTCTTTATGGTGGGAATGTTAAGCAAACCGAGCCTGTCCTGTCGTTTGTCTTTTCCCCTAAGGCCTAGCCACGCAGGGATGAGATGTGCTGAGTTTAAGGATGGGCAGGAGATAAAAGAGATTGAATTTCTCCAAAACCACTCATTTCGCCCCAGGAGGAAGCCACAAAAAATACACAAGCCCTTTTAGCTCTCACTTTTATGTAGTTCCGCTTGGGTTTTTTTTTTTTATCCCCGATCCAAAGAAAAATAGCCCAACGGCTTTCATTAACCATTTAAAAAAGGTATTTTGGATACAGTAGAGTATATCTATGGGTTTTCCCCCTTTAAACAGTGGAGTTACTTACAGGTTAGTTTAAGATCTAACCTTATCAGTGGTATAGCAGTGGCACGACGTAATACCAAAGGGTGCTTTGAGCCTGTGTTTCAGATAACTAAGAGGGAACATATTTTAAGGCTGCGGAAGCAAAAATATTAACTTTAAAGTGGGATATGTGAAAATAATTCATAATTTTGAAAAAAAAAATCCGTGTGTATTGGAGAGATGGTAAAAGGTTTCCATTACTTAGAGTTTAACACGTGCTTCATGAAAAGGAAAGGCTTCCTTGAATTTGCTTTTGTTGGCAGCTTTTCTCTGAATACCGGGTCTGATGAAAACGATCTTATTTCTGAGAACAGAACATACGTCGCAGGCATCGGGTTTGGCCACTCATTCCGTGATGCTTGTGGCACATGGCTGACCAAACACGGTCCCTGCCCTCAAGGGGGATATTGTTCTTCAGCCAGAAAGATAGACGTCCATTAAAACATTGACCGTATTGAGTGACGGGCGCTAATTTACCAATACGTACAGCCTCCTTTGGGAGCACATACGAGAAACTCCATGATCTTAGGACTTCATAAAGAAGTTCCAATTTGGGTACATTTTTGAATCTCTGGTGTCCAAAGGGGATGGTGCTTTGGACCAGTTACGTGGTTCTTTCTGCTAAGATATTTATTTTCTGACAGTGGTTATATCTTACATGTAAAATATCTCCCAGAGGACTATGTTTGGGCTTAGGGAAAATTCAGTTGTCAAAACTGTATGTAAACTTGCATTTCTCGCAGGGCCGTAGCTTATTTAAAAGCTGTCACATTTTGTATATACACAGTGATGATTAACTTGATCCATAAAAATAGTAAATGTCCGGATTCACATGAATTAGAAGGAACCGCTCTGCGTGGAATCACGGGCTCCTGTTCATAACGAGTCCCGGGATCAGGGTTGGGAGGTTTTGCTAGCATCCGCTCGATGCCGCTTCTTGGTTGTTGAACTTCTCGTCTTCCATTCGTAGACCTTTTCAAGCAAGTGGCAAGCTCCACAGGATTTTGTGACCAGCGCAGGCTGGGCCTCCTCCTGCACGACTCTATCCAGATCCCGAGGCAGTTGGGTGAAGTCGCATCCTTCGGGGGCAGTAACATCGAGCCGAGTGTCAGAAGCTGCTTCCAGTTTGTGAGTTACCTTCTTAAGTCGCAGGTTCCTTTTTGGTGTTTCAGAAATTGAAAACAAAAACGGGCAACTCGAGTGTGGTGCCTTAGCTCCTGTGCAGGCAGGTGGGTAGGGGATTGGTGCTTGAGACCTCTATGGGCAGTGGCTTCTGGACTCTGGGTTTTGAGAGAGAGGAGGGTACGGGGGGCGGAGAAAAAAAATCTCTCTCCGGCAGGGCCCCCCCTGGTTACTAAGGTGCCGGGAGGGGAGAGAGTCTGCGGTGGTTCAGCAAGGGAGGAAATACATCTCCAGCCACAGAAATCCTTGGTAAACAAGAAAATAGGGGCGCCCCCGTGGCTCGGGCGGTTGAACGTCTGACTCTTTGGATGTCGGCTCAGGTCATGATCTCACGGTGTGCGAGTTCCAACCCGCATCGCGCCCTGCGCCGACAGTGCTGAGCCTGCTTGGGATTTGCTCGCTCTCACTCTCGGCCCCTCCCCCGCTCACATTCATTCTCTCTCTTTCTCGCCCTCAAAATAACTCAGTTTAAAAATTAAAGAAGGAAAATAACTTTTGTAGGTGAGTCTTCAGTCCCTTAGTTTTTTTATCTTTATTTAAAAATTTTTTGTTGTTGTTTTTATTTTTTCCTTGATGCTTTTTGAACCCACTTGGGTTCTGTCATCATAGCCTCCTTTTCAGTGGCTGTTGGTCAGGGGTTGAAATGACTCTCTTTTTGTAAGTTTTCCTTTTGTAGCTTGGACGTTCCTCTGCTATTCCAAGGCCTGAATGGTGACCCTCTCCGTAACAGGGTCAGAGATTTATGCCCTGCTGGTGTCCCCGGCGCAACGCGTGGCTTGTCCGTTCGCCTTCTTATCCTGCCCCGTTTCTCTTCCACATCCCAGTCAGTGCCCCCCAAAACCCTTTCTTCCTCCCAAGTGGCCAAGAACTCCCCTGATACTGAGGTGGTTTGCATTTTCGCCACGGTCGGTGATGCTGCGGTGAACCTCTTTATGCATTCCGCTGTTTTCCTTGATGGAAGTTTTTCCCTTCAGATAAATTCTCCGGGATGGGATTACCAGACTCAAAGCTAGACCTCTGTGGCTTTGCATACATGTTACCAGATGCCTGTCCATCAAAGGTCGCTCCTCTTGGTGAAACACCAGCCGTACTGAAGGAGTGAGATCTTTGCAGTATCACGTTATTCACAGTGGTTGTCTGGGTTTTTTTTAGGTTTTCTTAAAAGCTAAGCACTGTTTTTCTTTGATGGGATTTCTCAATCCATTCTAATCCCATGAACAAGAGAACTAGCTGTAGAGATAACCAGATAACCGGGTTAGGCCTCTGGTCTTTGACCACAGACTAGGATAAAACCACAGAAGGCCTCCTAGGGGGGACATTGTGAATATTTAGATGTTTAAAGCAGTTGGAACATTGTTTAAAAGAAGGGGCGCCTGGGTGGCGCAGTCGGTTAAGCGTCCGACTTCAGCCAGGTCACGATCTCGCGGTCTGGGAGTTCGAGCCCCGCGTCAGGCTCTGGGCTGACGGCTCAGAGCCTGGAGCCTGTTTCCGATTCTGTGTCTCCCTCTCTCTCTGCCCCTCCCCCGTTCATGCTCTGTCTCTCTCTGTCCCAAAAGTAAATAAATGTTGGAAAAAAAAAAAAAATTAAAAAAAAAAAAAAAAAGTTAACCAGGCACATTGATGAAGCGATGGCATAGCAGCTAAAAATGTAACATAGATGTGGGGAAATAAATGCATTTTTTCCACCTCATACTCAGACTTCCCAAAATGTAAATAGACCATCACTACCTCTAGATTTTTTTTTTTTAGCCTCTAGAATGTAGACACAAGTAAAAGCGAATATCAATGGCCACAGATAACCTAGATTCATTTTTTTAAAAATCCACTTACAAGACTTGGAATGGATTGAGTTGTTTTTCTTAAGCAGGTTTCTCTTTAATCAAGTTTCACTTACTCTTTATTTAAAAGAAAACGTTGATCATTTTGAGAGAGAGAGAGAGAGAAGACGTGCGAACATGCGTGTGAGAGGGGGTCAGAGAAGGAGAGAGAACGAATCCCAAACCGGCTCTGCATTGTCAGCGCAGAGCCGGACTCGAGGTTCGATCCCACAAACTGGGAGATCGTAAACTGAGCCAAAACCAAGAGTCATGACCTGAGCCAAAACCAGATGCTTAAGCGACTGAGCCACCTGGGCGTCCCCAGTTACTCTTCAAATTGTAGTTGTGAAACACACGCACACACACACCCACGCACACTGATATATACGGCCACGCACGCTTCTGTGTGTATTGTGGCTTGGGTCGAGAGTACGGGTCAGGATGTACGTCGGCCAGTAGCCGACATGCATCAGGGCCACTGGAATCCTTGCCCCAGGGCCTCACAATACTGCCTGTGGCTGCCGCCCCCCACCACCCTCACTGCAGGGCCTGGCTCTGTTTCGAATCGAAATATACTTGACATGTTACACGGTGTAAATTTAAGGCGTACGACACGTTGGTTTGATACATTAACGTATCATAACGTGATTGCCGCTGTAGTGATAGTGCTTCTGCCGTGTCGTGTCGTGTAATTATCATGTGTGCGGTAAGAATGAGTAAGATCTAGTCTCTGACTCTGTCACTGAACAGAAGCTCCACCTTCCACATGCTGTGCTTTCACATGCTGTCTCCTTCTGCTGGATGTCCCCTTTCTTCCCGAACACATGCCTCTGTCCCGGCGATAGCAACACTGTCTTCTCATTGTCGCAATCTCAGACTCAGTCTGTCGGCGCATACTCACTGAATGTGTCCTGACTAGCCGGTCTCCAAGCGTTTGGGAAGGTCTTTGGTGAGACTGGGGGGGGGGGGGGGGGGGGGGGGGGGGGGGGGGGAGGGGGAGTCCTTCAAGATACTAACAGTGGTAACGGGTGGATTTTATTTTCTTCTCTCTACTCCATGGTATTTTCTGAATTTTCTTGGAGGGTGGTTATATTAAGGAGAAAAAAATGCATAAAGCACTAAGTTTGTTTTTTTGTTTTTTTTTTTTTTTTTTTTAAGAGAAAGAAACATCTTTTGTCTGGTGACCTTCCCTCCCAGTCTTACCGTGCTCTGTACCCTGACCTTGTCATTGCTGTTACTGCTCTCATACTGGTTTAAAAAAAAATTTTTTTTTTTAACGTTTATTTATTTTTGAGACAGAGAGAGGCAGAGCATGAGTGGGGGAGGGGCAGAGAGAGAGGGAGACACAGAATCGGAAGCAGGCTCCAGGCTCTGAGCCGTCAGCCCAGAGCCCGACGCGGGGCTCGAACTCACGAACTGTGAGATCGTGACCTGAGCCGAAGTCGGACGCTCAACCGACTGAGCCCCCCAGGCGCCCCTCTCATACTGGTTTTAAAGAAACGTATTAGCTGTACGACAGACACCACGGGTAGAAATCCGTTTCTTTCTGTGGTCCACTGAGTAAATCCTAATGTGTCTAGTTCTCACACCTTTCCTCATCTGCTTCCGTAACCACCCAGAGTTTGCTCTCACCACCCTGAAGCAGCCTCTCCCTACGATTTGTGCCTCCTGTGCTTACGGGTAATGTTGTTACTGTTGCTGCCGACCGTCACACTTGACCATTGTTCCCGTGGATTCCGTCCTGAATCCTTACCAATCCTTTGAGGAGAATGGAATGGGCAGGCTTTGGGGGTCGGGTTTTTATTGTTGTTTAGATGGACGAGTAAATTGCCGCTGCCCCTCAAGGCCCTGAGCTGGTGGAAGGCTTTAATTCCTAGTCCATTGTCCCCAAACCCCCACTCACCACCTCAGTCCCAAATGTGCCCTTTTTGATTCTCCTCTCCACCCTCCGAAGGTGAAATAACAGGCGTTTTCTTTGGCTCCCTGCTGGAATATGAGATAACCACGCGGGAGCACGGGGGGCTTCGGGGTAAGGGGAATGCCCGTTCTGAGAAGTTGAGTATTGGCAGTTGGGGGTTTCTAGTAGGACGTCGTGCTCGCTCTGTGTGTGCCGGGTACTGTTCCTTCGGTTTGGGAAGCCTCTCACCTGGGTAGTAATTGGCAATCGGGTTGAACCGATCCCTTCTGTGTACTTCGCAGTTGACGTCTGGGACCTGGCAGGCTTGTCCTCAGCCAGGTGCTCTGGCAGTCACCTTGCCTTTCACTGTGCACCGTGCATGAAAATGCGCGGTCTGCCGCGGCGAAGGAGACCACAAGTGAAGATGCCCTTTGCCCTTTGTTTGAAGCGTAGGGACCTTGGGACTGTGCCAGGCTGGTTCTTTGAGCAAGGCTGTGCTCCAAGGCCTGTTTTCTACCCACCTAAGGACATAGCAGTAAAGTACTTAACTTCTACAAATGCATTCCTTGTATCGCAGAGAGAGAAGGTGACTTCAGAAGAGAACTTCTTTTGAGTTGGGACAGTGAGAGAGGTGTAGCTTCTGGTTGTAGACAAGAGCCTAGAAGGGGCCGAAAGAAAGCGGTGTATTTTCCTGTGCAGCGCTCAGTGGGGGATCTTTTCAAGGTTTCCTTAGCTCGGATCCAGATCCCTCCGTTCGGGACACGGATGGTGGTGATGGTTCCCCAACAATATGAATGTCCGTCAAAAAAAAAAAAAAAGTCGGGGAAGAAACCCCCACGTTGCTCCAAAACAGATAGAGAAGGAACCCACCATCAAGTGCAGGTACGATGTTTTGCCCACTTACAAATCAGGATAGGTCTTTCAAGGAATTATCTAGTAAGCCAGGAAATGAAGGTATACCTGTGGATTTAAAAAAGGAAAATCTACCCTAAATTTATGGGTTTGACAGCAGTACCTTCCTTGAGAGTAAACAAGGCAACCAGGGTAATGTTCCTACCTTAGAAGCCTATTGCAATGCACATATACTGGGAAACAGACCCTGTGGGGATAGTAGAAGTGAAGTTGTAAAACTAGTTTGTTGCAGTTAATGCATCATCATGTCGTTCCTCTTTGCATATTCCACGGACACAACTCCACTGTCAGACTATGTTGATCCTTCTGACCTGAGTGAG